GATTTTGATTTAAATGATGTTTTAGTTTGTTTTCCTTATTGACAAGCACTACAAAGATGATCTTTTTCAAATTTAATTTTTGGAAATCTAATGACCAAATCCTTTCTCAAAAGTTTAGTAATTAAATCCATATGAGCATGACCACGTCTTCTATACCATAACCAACTATTTTTATTATTAACATATAAACATTTAACATCACTAGCATAGAGATCATTAAGATGAAAAATATAAACATTATCATGGCGATTACCAACGAATAAAGCTTTATGATCATTTGTACTTTCAATTGTGCAATGTGGTTTATCAAAAATAACTCAATTACCTTTATCACATAGTTGACAAGTAGGTTATGCTTAAGTTCATCAACAAGTAAAACATTTTCAATAGAAAGGTTAGGAGAAATACCAATACTACCAATACCGATGATTTTTTCTTTCTTATTGTCTCCAACAGTAACAAATCCTCTATCTTTTGATGATAGTTTAGTAAATAATGATATATATCCGGTCATGTGTCTGGAACATCCACTATCAAGGTACCACTTTCCTTCTTTAGCTTTGGACTTAAAGCAAACCTATAAGATGACAATCAAGTGTTGGTTTTTGGTACCCATAGTTTCTTGGGTCCTTCTTGGTTAATCTTGTTAGATCCCTTAATAATCTAAGTCTTTTTAATTCCCATGTTCATATTCTTTTTGAATGGACAATAAGATATATAATGGGCTTTCTTTCTACAATAATGACAAGTAATATGAGGGTGTGTCATGAGAGGTGCCTTTTCAAAAATTGTATTGAGATTCTTTTGTTTCTTAATGGGGTCATATCAATACCCACATTATCAAAGACATATCTTTGATTTCCAAGAAGCATGTTGAGATTATCTCTACCTTTTACAAAATTTTCAAGTGTTTTTATTAAATCATCAACATTGTTTTTTAAAGTAGTTTTATCATTAGAGATAGTATCAAAATCATTTTTCAAAATAATTTTTTCTTTCTTTAATTCTTCTACATTAATAGATAAAGATGCAACAGATTTCTTCAATACATTATTTTTGGCACAAACTTTTCTAAATTCATTTGATAGTTCATGGAACGCAATTTCAAGTTCTTCATAAAGAGTAGTTATCTCATCTTGAGTAAAGTCTTCATCTTCAAGAGCCATGAGACATAAGTTGGCTACTTTATTTTCAATTTCATCACTTGAGCTTTTATCTTCACTTTCTCTCCAAGCTGCTACCATGGCCTTTTTGTTTCTTTTGTAGTCTTTTCCATGATTCTTTAATTTTGGACAATCCATCTTCATATGTCCAGGATTTTTGCACTCATAGCAAATAATAGGCTCTTTCTTGTTATCTTTGTTGTACTATTTCTTGAAAGGTTTTCTTCCTCCATAATTGTTTTTCTTGAAGTACTTCTTGAGATTTCTACTAAACATGTCATACCTTTCATCCTTACTGGAGTTTTCAAGTTCTTCTTTATTTGATGAGGCTTTGAATGCAATTCCAATTTTATTTTTAGTTTCAACATCCTCATGTCTTTTTATGGTAATCTAATGGGTCATAAAGGAACCCATAAGCTCATCAAATCCAAGTGTGGAGAGATCTTTGGCTTCTATAATGGCGGTGACCTTTGCTTCCCAATTCTTTAGTAAACACCTAAAAATTTTTCTTACCAACTCACTATTAGTATAAGTTTTGCCAAGAGATTTTAAAGAGTTTATAATTTTAGTAAATCTAGTAAACATACTTGAAATAGATTTATCAGAGTTCATTTTAAACAATTCATAACTATGAACAAGCATATCAATGCGAGATTCCTTTACTTGGTCTGTACCTTCATAAGTTACTTCAAGTTTGTCCCAAATTTCTTTTGCCGAATCACAACTTGAAATTCTATTATACTTCTTAGAGTCTAATCCACAAATAATGGTGAGTTTGGCTTTAGCATTGGCTTGCAATAATTTGTAATCCCTCTCATTACATCCATTTTCAGTTTTAGGTACACTAATATTATCTACTAATTTGGTAGGAATTTTTGGACCTTTGGTGATAATAATCCACATAACATAATTAATGGCTTGTAAGTATAGGGTCATCTTATCTTTCCAATGACTATAGTTGTTTCCGTCAAATAATAGTGGCCTATTGGTGGCTTGTCTTTCAGTAGTACTAGTGCTAGCTAAGGTTGCCATGGATCGAAACTCTCAGATGGTTAAATCTAAAGCAAGAGTTTAGGCTCTAATATCAATTGTTATACAAAAGACAACCTAAGAGGGGGGTGAATTAGGTTTTTACAATTAAAAATTAATAATACCCTAATAAAAATTATGACTAACACAATAGATAAATATAGTTAATAAAATAAAAATAATTAAAACAAGTGTTCTAACAACTATGTCAGTTAATGATTTTAGCACAGTGAAAATTTGAAATATAGCTACAGCAATTTAAATAAAATAAAGAGATAAGGGAGAGAGAGACAAACAAATTTATAGTGGTTCGGCTTCAACTCGGCCTACGTCCACTCTTCAAGCTTCACTTGAGATTTTTCACTATGCTCTAGCTTCACGGGGGTGCTAGCAACCTCTTTACAAATGGAGTAATCCTCCACGAATTTTACATAGACTTTACAAGCCCAAACCCTTATAAATCTTAGGTGATTCACAATCACTCTCAAGATTTCAAGAACACAGTATTTGCAACACTTTTATAAGATGAAATGGAATTTTATTTTCAAAGAAAGCTTACAATAAATATCTCTCAAAGATAGATATATAAAATGAAATTTTGATTTTTTTGTAAATCTCACACAAGAAAGATGGGCTTAAAGGTATGAGGCTCAGTATATAATTTCTGAGAATAGATGTGAGTGATTATAGATCAAAGAATATTTTCAAATTTTTTTTTTTTTGAGTAACTTGTTTACATTAGAGACTTTAGTATATATAATGAAAATTATTGCAGTTTATAGCCGTTGTATTCATTTGAATTTATAGTCGTTGTAGTAATTTGAATTTATAGCCATTTATAGCCGTTGTACTTCTATTATTATTAATTTAAATATTTTTCATTTGAACCTTTTGGCTTGCTGTTGTGCTAGGCTGTTTGAACTTTTGTTTTGTGCTGTTTGAACTCCTGATTTAATCAAATATTAAATACATTCTAACAACATTTAAGATAAATGTTTAGGTGAGAAATAAATCATCAAAATAAATTTTGATTTTATTTTTTTCTTTCAAATAAATCATCAAAATAAATTTTGATTAAAATATAATTAAATAAATCATCAAAATAAATTTTGGATTCTATTTTTTTCTTTCAAATAAATTAAAACATAATTAAATAAATTATCAAAATAAATAATTCTAACAAGTTTAATGATCAAAATATTATTTTTGTTCATCGATTTTACTTATCAAAAACAAAAATATTATCTAAATTGAAAATAGAATAAAAAATGAAAGTTTAAATTGTTAAATTAAAAATTTATAATTTATTTTATTACAATGATTAATATTTTTTTTGTATGGAATGGTACGTATTTTTCTAATTTTATTTTGATGGAATTTTTTTTATAACACACACCTATTATGTCTTTGTTATAATATAAAATTATTTAGGTATATGTGATGTTATATTTACCTTTCGTTTGAAACTTAATATTTTAATAATTTTTTTATTTTTTTTTTGAAAAGATGTATAAAAAAATAAAAAAAGTAATGTAATAATTTATAATGACTTTTTAATTTTTTTTAGTAAAATACTTAATTCCTAAATGAGGCTTTAGTTATAATTTAATTTTTATTGAGTTATCTTTCTCTTATCATATTGAGTTACGTTATGTTGGGATTGAGTGATTTAGAAAGAAAAGAAAATAAATGGAGAGATGTGTATTTTTTTTATTTGTTTGGATAATCTAAGTAGAGAGAAATGAAATGAAATAGAGATAAACTCATTTATCTTATAAGTCTCATTTTCAATCTTCCCAAAAGTGGAGAGATTGAGAAAGAAAAGAAACCACTATTTTCATAATACCAATTTTATCCCTATAAAAATAAAAAATAAAAAATGATTGAAAATATAAAAAGGTTATTTTGGTAATATAGCATAAAATAAATTTTTTTCTTTTTTCTTAATGAAATCTAACCAAATAAGAATGAGAGAAATCATAATCATTTTTTTTATTTCTTCTTTATCTAAAAAAAGAAAAAAATATAATTATTTCTTTCATTTTCTTTTCTCTTATAACTTAAGTAATTCTTTACTCCCTCCGTCCCAAAATATTAGTCTATTATTCCATTTTTCATTGTTCCAAAATATTAGTCCCTCTTCAAAAATCAAGTACAAAAATAATATAAATTTCTTATTTTGCCATTCTTTTAAATAAATAAACAATATAAAAGGTACAATTATGACATTAATATTTTTAAAATTATGACATTAATATTTCTAAAAAATATACTATTAAAAGAATAATTTAAAAAAATTAATTTTTTTAAAATATAATAATTATACTACTAAAAATAGTTAAATTCTTAAAAAAAACCATCATTTTGAGAGGGGGGAATTTAATTTTCACTCCTAATATAGTGTTAGTAATTTGGTAGTATCATAACTCCAAAACGTTGACAGAGAGGAGACTTGTGTCCGTCGCTTATTTTTACGTTTGATCTCTCACTCCGACACGCAACTCACACACCACCTTTCCCCCACTTCTCTTCAAATTTTCTCACCATTTTCTCTCAATTTTTCCTGTCTTCTTAGGGTTTAACAGTTCTTCACTCCCCCTCCAATGGATCACCGCCACCACCATCGTCCCTTCTTCTACTCCCCCTCCAATCCCCACCCACATTGGCTTCCTCTTCCTCCTCCTCCTGCTCCGCCTCCTCCTTCCGCCGCCTCCCTCAGCCAACAACCACCGCCTTTCATGGTCGAACTCACTCCCGCTGCCCCTTTTTCCTACAACCCGACCTCGTTTACCTTGATTCAATCAATGCAACCCTACCCCTCACAACTTCTTTGTCAATCCCACCGGTCTCGTCGCCGGAATTTTGTTTTTCCGCCACCGTACTGATGCCGCCGAAGCTATTGTTTTCTTCTGGGAACGCCGGATCGCCGGCGATCATTTCATGACTCCGGTGTCTGAGGTTTTGGATGATAAATTGCAGGAGAGAGTGAAGGGTTTGTTTGTTTCTCATGTGGAGAGTTTATTGGAAGGAGAGGTTATGCAGAGGATGGTGAAAAAGAGGGAGGTTTTGCAGAATGAGGCTGAGAATCTCTCTGCTCGGCTTCGGAAGCCGCAGAAATTGGGTTTGTTATTCGGTGACTTGCCGGGGAAGGCTAAAGGTTTGCGAGATGAGATTGGGTTGATTACGAATAGGATGGAAGAATTTAGGTCTGCTATGAAGTGGGTTCTTAATTATCTTCAAGGAAACAACTCTAAAGATTCGGTAATTAGTGGTGAAACTGAGGTTTTTAAGTTTGAGGACGGTTTGGATTTGAGTAGAATTCATTGTATTGTGATGCGTGAGTGTCGAAGACTCGAAGAGGGATTGCCAATTTATGGATTCCGACTTGAAATCATTCGCAAAGTCCTTTCGGAACAGGTTTGCCATTGCATTTATTCTTTCACTGAACAATTGTATAGGCTAAGTTAGCTGGTTTGTGTTATGATGTTTGATAATTGAACCACTATTGCATTCTTGATTAGAATGCAAACCAACATACTCTGAGCAGGGACGGAACTAGGATTTTCAGAGGCACCAAGACATAAAACCCAAATCTCAGTATATATATATATTAACTAATACCCTTAAGGCACTCGTAAACAAATTATTTTAATTTTGTTTTGTTTTCTACTTCTTTTTAGAATGAAAATCAATGAGCACTGATAAAAGTTCAAATAATGCCAAAAAAAAAAAAATCAAAACTCTAATACATTTTCATATATTCTTATTACTTCTATATATTTTTTTGGTCTTGCTAGCAAGTGTTCTTGGGTACAAGAAAACGACAAAAAAATTTAGAAACACAGTGCATTTTTCGCTGAAATAATGCACCTTTTGACTATTTTATCTATTTTCAAAACATTTTTTTATTTCAATCCCAATATTCAACAATGTCTCTGGCCACTTGTTAGCATTTGCCATATTTTTTTTACATAGTTTAATACACGTTTTATACACACTTGCGCGGGCTCTCGCTTGCGCGCGCGCGCACGCACACACACACACACATATTAATATTTACTAACATCCATTGGATTATGGTTATCAGTATGCACCAATTATTTGCCTGTCAATAATATTACGTCGGCATTAATCAGGGGCCATCTCTAGCCATATACAATGGAAAGTGGGCTTTCAAAGTAATATTACTGAGAACGTTTCAGTTGAGTGGGAGGGCCATGGCCCCTCATGGTCTCCTCGTTCCATCCCTGGCTTTAAGTGATGGTTTATAGTTATGGCTTTTCCTCTATTGTAGGTTTTAGTGCTTCACTCATATTGTTTGTTGTTTTGAATAAAATCACAAGCAATGTGGCATTACTACATTGGTATAACTTAAAGCAAGTCACTATATGTGTGAATTATCTAAACACCATGAAGTCATTTAGGTTTGAATAATTTATATGTTATAGATTATCAATTTAAAATTGTCCAAATCTGTCATCCAAGATTTTTGTTATTCAATAGGAGATAGCAAGTTTTGAGGTGAATGTGTGGATCTTTTTAAAAGTACTTGCTCCTTATTGGGCCTAAAAACTTTATATTTCTTCTTTTAATTGTTTTCAAATTGTTTTGTGGTCGATTTTGCTCTGTGCTTTTATGCATTCACCCTGGATGGTAAGTAAATAAACTTTAAAATCTTGATTACAGGCTGAAAATTTTGATGTTTGTGGAAAAGGAATGAAGTAAAGGACAAATTGGTGGCAATAAGTAATTGTTTTACATTTTCTAAGCTGCATGCTAATCTTTGCAGAGCTATTTAATGCAGTAAAAGCTTCATTTTTGTTTTTCCGATCCTTTTTTTTTTTCTGTTTTATTTTTGTATCAAGTATTTATTTATATGAAGACTTAGAAAATATGAGGAAGAAGAACTCCAAAAATATGAGGAAGAAGGAATATATTTCTGTTATATTCAAAACTTCTTATCTTACAAGATTCTTTTCTTTTTTCTTTTTAACAAGTAGAAGTATTTCATTAAAAACACAATAGAATGGGCATGCAACCTATATAGACGTGCCATATGCAGCTATGGTCCTTGTAAAAGGCAAACAGAACCTGAGATCCTTTAAGTCAAGGGGCGGTGCCTGGATTCCATCATTGGGGGGAGGCCAGAAAAAAGGAAGGCATTGAGCAAGTCTAAGTGGTCGGGTAATGATAGGTTTAAACAGCTTAAATTATTATTGAAATCAACATATCACTATTAAAGATAAGTTAATAAAAAATGAGTGTTGAACTTCATTGGTTCACCACTATAGAAATATAAAAAATCAGAAGTAATATCATGAGTGAAGAATAGATATTGCATAATTCACCTAGTAGTACATGAATGGTTAATTAATTGCAAATTGCGTTGGGTACATAGACTTTTGAAGCTATTTCACAGTAATGAGTGAAAGAGTAAAATAGTTAAGTGAAAGGAGGGAAGACTAAAGAGGGAAAAGAGAAAAATGGAAAAAAAATCTGAGTGAAAACACGAGAATTCATTGTATTGTGATGCGTGAGTGTCGAAGACTCGAAGAGGGATTGCCAATTTATGGATTCCGACTTGAAATCATTCGCAAAGTCCTGGGAAAGAGGGAAAGATAAATAATTAATTGTTTAAGAAAAAAAAAAGTACCTTTGAGGGGGTCATGTGTATTCAAATATACGTATGGTTAGATGATGTAAATTCCACGTATTTTATACACATGTATTAAGGCTATGTAGAATTTGGTAGGGGACATTTTTTTTAAATCATGAGTTTACTCTCCTCATTGTGCAAATTTTGAACCAAACCTATAAACTCACTCTTTATCTGTATATTGGAGGCTCCACTCTATCAAATGATTGCTTTCCCTCCTAATAGGGGGATTTACGTCTAGGTCCTAATAGGTGGACTTATTATCCAATAGGTCCTCTGATAAATAATGGCATTTTTTATCAAACACTATTAAAAAACGTCACTAATTGTTAATTTTTAGTGACAACTTGAAAATTGTCACAAAAATGTCACTAATTATAAGTTTTAGCAACCGTTTAAAAAAATCTTCACAAAAAGATGTCACAAATTTTCAACTTTTGGCGACAGTTTGAAAAATTCATCACAGAAAAAGTCACAAATTATAAGTTTTAGCAACAATTTATAAAAACTATGACAAAAAAAAGTTACTAATTGTCAATTTTTAGCGACATATGCAAAAAATCGTCACAAAATTATTTTTAGTGACTATTTTGCTAGGACTTATTTTCAATAGGACTTGATGAGAATTAAGTTCAACTATTAGGACTTATTGGTAGTTTACCTTTTATTTTTTATTTTGTTTTTGTTTTTGTATCAATCTCCCCATCCCCCTTATGATATTTTTTATTTTTTGGTAATCAGTACAAAATTTTATTCTAGTTTATAATATTATATATATATATATGTATTTGAGTGAGTATGTATACTAAAGTTGTACATGGATCTATGGAACACCTTCATCGACTTCTGTTTCACATTGCCCTTGGGATGGTTTAATGTTCATAAAAGGGTACTAAAGCATTAGGGGCTCAATAGTATGGTATCAATTAAATTTTGCTTATTTTCACAATTCTTGCAGGTAATGGTCTTGATTGGAGAGACTGGTTCAGGGAAGAGCACACAGTTGGTTCAGTTTCTGGCTGATTCAGGACTTGGTGCTAGTGGTTCAATAGTATGCACCCAGCCCCGCAAAATTGCTGCTGTCTCTTTGGCAAAAAGGGTTGGTGAAGAAACTAACGGGTGTTATGAAGGTAATTCAATCATTTGTTATCCAACATATTCTCATGTTCAGGCATTCAAGTCCAAGGTAATATTTATGACTGACCACTGTTTACTTCAACATTACATGAACAATAAGAATCTGTCTGGAATTTCATGCATCATTATAGATGAAGCTCATGAAAGGAGCTTGAATACTGATCTCCTGTTGGCTCTGTTAAAAGAGTTACTTTGTCAGAGGGGTGATTTAAGGCTCATAATAATGTCTGCAACAGTTGATGCAAGCAAAATTTCGGATTACTTTTATGGTTGTGGAACCTTTCATGTGGTTGGGAGAAGCTTTCCTGTTGAAATCAATTATGTTCCAGGTGAATATGGAGGGACTTCTGGCACTTTAAAATCCAGTTCTGGTAATTTAGCTCCATATGTTTTTGATGTTGTTAAGATGGTTACTGAGATCCATAAATCAGAAAATGAAGGGGCTATTCTTGCCTTTTTGACTTCTCATATGGAAGTTGACTGGGCTCGTGAAAATTTCCAGTCTCCCTCTGTTGTCTCGTTAGCTTTACATGGAAAACTATCCCATGAAGAGCAATGTCGTGTATTCCAGGACTACCCTGGAAAGAGAAAAGTTATTTTTGCCACGAATTTAGCAGAGACATCCTTGACTATTCCTGGTGTCAAGTATGTAATTGATTCTGGCATGGTAAAGGAGCGCTGGTTTGATTCAAGTAGTGGTATGAATGTCCTAAGAGTTTCCTGGATCAGCCAGAGTTCAGCTAACCAGCGAGCTGGCCGTGCTGGCCGAACAGAACCTGGAAAGTGTTACCGGCTCTATTCGGACTGTGATTATCAGTCTATGCTTTTACCAACTTAGAAAATATGAGGAAGAAGAACTCCAAAAATATGAGGAAGAAGGAATATATTTCTGTTATATTCAAAACTTCTTATCTTACAAGACTAAATGACACTCCTTATATAGGAGATATTACAAACATCATCATAACCCATTATATGCCACTTACATATTATATATTACCACTATCTACCACCAACACCACTATCATATTATATACATTAACACAATTTCCAGCATGAAGAATGCATGAAGGGAATTGGAGCGACCAGCCTAAGGTTAATTTTTTGACCGTATTTCTTAGTATTGACACGTGTGTTGGGAGTTGTTGAATTTCTTTTCTTTTTTCTTTTTAACAAGTAGAAGTATTTCATTAAAAACACAATAGAATGGGCATGCAACCTATATAGACGTGCCATATGCAGCTATGGTCCTTGTAAAAGGCAAACAGAACCTGAGATCCTTTAAGTCAAGGGGCGGTGCCTGGATTCCATCATTGGGGGGAGGCCAGAAAAAAGGAAGGCATTGAGCAAGTCTAAGTGGTCGGGTAAGGATAGGTTTAAACAGCTTAAATTATTATTGAAATCAACATATCACTATTAAAGATAAGTTAATAAAAAATGAGTGTTGAACTTCATTGATTCACCACTATAGAAATATAAAAAATCAGAAGTAATATCATGAGTGAAGAATAGATATTGCATAATTCACCTAGTAGTACATGAATGGTTAATTAATTGCAAATTGCGTTGGGTACATAGACTTTTGAAGCTATTTCACAGTAATGAGTGAAAGAGTAAAATAGTTAAGTGAAAGGAGGGAAGACTAAAGAGGGAAAAGAGAAAAATGGAAAAAAAAGTCAACATCAGTTGTGTAGAGAGGGTGTCATACTTGCTGCTGTTATGGCAAATGCAAGTAGCATATTTTGCAGAGTTGGTACTAGTGACGATAAATTAAAAGCTGATTGTATTAAGGTAGAGGGAAAGATAAATAATTAATTGTTTAAGAAAAAAAATACCTTTGAGGGGGTCATGTGTATTCAAATATACGTATGGTTAGATGATGTAAATTCCACATATTTTATACACATGTATTAAGGCTATGTAGAATTTGGTAGGGGAAATTTTTTTTAAATCATGAGTTTACTCTCCTCATTGTGCAAATTTTGAACCAAACCTATAAACTCACTCTTTATCTGTATATTGGAGGCTCCACTCTATCAAATGACTGCTTTCCCTCCTAATAAGGGGACTTACGTCTAGGTCTTAATAGGTGGACTTATTATCCAATAGGTCCTATGACAAATAATGGCATTTTTTATCAAACACTACTAAAAAACGTCACTAATTATAAGTTTTAGCAACCGTTTAAAAAAATCTTCACGAAAAGATGTCACAAATTTTCAACTTTTAGCGACAATTTGAAAAATTCATCACAGAAAAGTCACTAATTATAAGTTTTAGCGACAATTTATAAAAACCATGACAAAAAAAAGTTACTAATTGTCAATTTTTAGCGACAAATGCAAAAAATCGTCACAAAATTATTTTTAGTGACTATTTTGCTAGGACTTATTTTCAATAGGACTTGATGAGAATTAAGTTCAACTATTAGGACTTATTGGTAGTTTACCTTTTATTTGTTATTTTGTTTTTGTATCAATCTCCCCATCCCCCTTATGATATTTTTTATTTTTTGGTAATTAGTACAAAATTTTATTCTAGTTTATAATATTATATATAAGTGTATTTGAGTGAGTATGTATACTAAAGTTGTACATGGATCTATGGAACACCTTCATCGACTTCTGTTTCACATTGCCCTTGGGATGGTTTAATGTTCATAAAAGGGTACTAAAGCATTAGGGGCTCAATAGTATGGTATCAATTAAATTTTGCTTATTTTCACAATTCTTGCAGGTAATGGTCTTGATTGGAGAGACTGTTTCAGGGAAGAGCACACGGTTCAGTTTCTGGCTGATTCAGGACTAGGTGCTAGTGGTTCAATAGTATGCACCCAGCCCCGCAAAATTGCTGCTGTCTCTTTGGCAAAAAGGGTTGGTGAAGAAACTAACTTGTGTTATGAAGGTAATTCAATCATTTGTTATCCAACATATTCTCATGTTCAGGCATTCAAGTCCAAGGTAATATTTATGACTGACCACTGTTTACTTCAACATTACATGAACAATAAGAATCTGTCTGGAATTTCATGCATCGTTATAGATGAAGCTCATGAAAGGAGCTTGAATACTGATCTCCTGTTGGCTCTGTTAAAAGAGTTACTTTGTCAGAGGGGTGATTTAAGGCTCATAATAATGTCTGCAACAGTTGATGCAAGCAAAATTTCGGATTACTTTTATGGTTGTGGAACCTTTCATGTGGTTGGGAGAAGCTTTCCTGTTGAAATCAATTATGTTCCAGGTGAATATGGAGGGACTTCTGGCACTTTAAAATCCAGTCCTGGTAATTTAGCTCCATATGTTTTTGATGTTGTTAAGATGGTTACTGAGATCCATAAATCAGAGAATGAAGGGGCTATTCTTGCCTTTTTGACTTCTCAGATGGAAGTTGAATGGGCTCGTGAAAATTTCCAGTCTCCCTCTGTTGTCTCGTTAGCTTTACATGGAAAACTATCCCACGAAGAGCAATGTCGTGTATTCCAGGACTACCCTGGAAAGAGAAAAGTTATTTTTGCTACGAATTTAGCAGAGACATCCTTGACTATTCCTGGTGTCAAGTATGTAATTGATTCTGGCATGGTAAAGGAGCGCTGGTTTGATTCAAGTAGTGGTATGAATGTCCTAAGAGTTTCCTGGATCAGCCAGAGTTCAGCTAACCAGCGAGCTGGCCGTGCTGGCCGAACAGAACCTGGAAAGTGTTACCGGCTCTATTCGGACTGTGATTATCAGTCTATCAGGAGCCTGAAATTCGTAAAGTTCACCTAGGCATTGCAGTTCTAAGAATTCTTGCCTTAGGGATTAAGAATGTACAGGAATTTAATTTTGTTGATGCCCCCAGTGCCAAGGCAATTGACATGGCCATCAGAAACCTTGTGCAGTTAGGGGCTATCATATCCAAAAATGATGCTTTTGATTTAACTGAGGATGGACATTGTATAGTTAAACTGGGTATTGAGCCTCGGCTTGGAAAACTTGTTCTTGACTGCTGTCAACATCAGTTGTGTAGAGAGGGTGTCATACTTGCTGCTGTTATGGCAAATGCAAGTAGCATATTTTGCAGAGTTGGTACTAGTGATGATAAATTAAAAGCTGATTGTATTAAGGTACAATTCTGCCATCGTGGTGGAGATCTGTTCACTCTGCTTTCTGTCTACAAGGAATGGGAATGTATGCCTCGAGGGAGTCAAAATAAATGGTGTTGGGAAAATAGTGTCAATGCGAAGTCTATGCGTAGATGCTATGATGCTGTACTAGAATTAGAAAGTTGTCTTAAAAATGAGCTAAGCATCACTGTTCCTAGTTTCTGGCTTTGGAATCCTGACGTTGTTTCTGAACATGATAAATGGATGAAGAAAGCGATACTTTCTTCCTTGGCAGAAAATGTAGCCATGTACTCTGGATATGATCGTCTTGGTTATGAGGTGGCTTTAACTGGAGAACATTTTAAACTTCATCCTTCATGTTCATTGCTTGCATATGGTCAGAAGCCTAGCTGGGTTGTATTTTCGGAAATGCTATCTACGCCAAATCAATATTTGGTCTGTGTAACTGCTTTTGACTATGACTCTTTGTTTTCCATTAGTCCTCCTCCTCCATTCAATATCTTACAGCTGCAGAGTCGGAAGCTGCAGGTAAGGGTGATTACTGGATTTTCAAGTGCGGTTCTAAAGAGATTCCGTGGGAAATCAAACAATAGTTTACTTCGTCATGTTTCTCGCATTCAAACAACCTTCATGGATGAACGAATTGGTATTGAAATTGATGCTGATAAGGATGAAATTCACTTATTTGCCTCTTCAGAAGACATTGAAAGGGTTCTCAGCCTTCTGACAGATGCCTTGGCATACGAAAAGAAATTGTTGAGAAATGAATGCTTGGAAAAATGTCTACATCATGGGGGCCAGCCCGGTGTTACTCCCCCAGTGGCATTGTTTGGAGCTGGTGCTGAAATTAAGCATCTGGAGTTGGAGCAGAGATATTTGACTGTGGATGTGTTTCATTCAAAGGTGAATTCTTTTGATGACAAGGAGCTTTTAATATTCTTTGAGAATTTTGTCTCTGGAGTATGTGGTTTTCACAAGTTCACTCTCAGTGGACAAGATGGTGAAGACAATGAAAAGTGGGGCAGGATAACATTTTTCACTCCTGTTGCAGCTCAAAAAGCTGTTGAGTTAAACGGTGTTGAATTTTGTGGCTCTTCACTAAAGGTTGCCCCTGCTTGGGCATGTGTGGTGGGTGATCATAGAATGTCATCATTTCCTGCAGTAAGAGCCAAAGTGTTTTGGCCCCGTAGGCACAGCAAGGGCTTTGCAATAGTTAAATGTGAAAGGAATGATGTTGATTTTATTGTTAGTGATTGCACTAACATTCTGATTGGAGGTAGGCTTATTTACTGTGAGATCGATAGAAAGTGCATGGATTCTGTTGTCATCAGAGGTATAGATAGAGAAACTTCGGAACCAGAAATTCTAGAAATCTTGAGAATGGCCACAGATAGGAAAATTCTGGATTTATTTCTCGTAAGAGGAGCTGCTGTTGATGATCCACCATGTGGTTCTTGTGAAGCAGCACTTCGTAAAGAACTTGCTCCATTCATGCCTAGCAACAGCCCATTAAGCAATTTTTGCTATGTCAAGGTCTTCCGCCCTGAACCAAAGGATAACTTCATGAAAGCTTTGATTACTTTTGATGGAAGACTGCATTTGGAGGCAGCGAAAGCTTTGCATCATATTGAGGGGAAAGCACTTGCTGGATGTCTTTCGTGGCAGAAGATACAGTGCCAGCAGTTGTTCCATAGCTCTTTGTCGTGCCCGGCTCCTGTCTATGTGGTCATTAAGAGGCAACTAGATTCTTTATTCAATAGCTTTAAGCATCGTAGTGGTATCTCCTATTACTCTGAATATGGTTCTTTCTATTTCATGAAATCGTTTATTTTTGTTGAACATGTTCTTTTTCTATTCGTCACACTCGTAGTTAAGGGAAAATCCTCCACTCATGCTTAAATCTATTCCACATGGTGTGTACAATTTTCTTTTGTTTTATTCAGCCAATTCACTAATTTTGTCCCAGTTTTTGATTAGATGCTTGATTATTCTGATCTAGTTCAGATTTTCTTTTTCTAGAAGTCATTGAGAGCTGTTTTTGTTGGTAGAATTCATTTACGTATATCATATCATATATGAATGCTTTGTTAATTATGCAATCTAGGAGGACTAGGACTTGCTGTGCCTTTTAGATTTTTCAACTGTGTTTTTCAGATTTTTGTGAGGAGAAATGGGTTACACTACAGTTTATATTAGTAAGAGTTGAAAGATAGGTTCATTTGTAACCACAGTGTTTACTAAAGTATTTCTTTTTATTTTTTGATAATTTGAATGGCCAATAAAATCTTTAACTGTTCAGCGTTCCATTTGACTGCATGTGTTTGGACAATTTGTGTTTCTTGATGACAACTCATTAATTGGACAATTGCAAAAAGTTCGATGATAAGTTTGTGTTAGTTTTTTATTTTATTTAAGTTTATTTTTAAAAATCATGTTGTATGTATTTATGGCCTTCTGCAATATTTGAAGGCAGAGAATTAAAATGAATTTATGATTATTTTTCACAACACAATCTAAATAATTGTTCTATAATTTAGCTGTGAGAGTCATGAATCAATTTACTTCACAGGTGTATCTTACAATTTGGAAAGGACTGAGTATGGCTCTTATCGGGTCAAGATATCTGCTAATGCTACAAAGGCAGTGGCAGAGTTGAGGAAACCTCTGGAGCAGCTAATGAAAGGAAAGCTTGTGACTCATGACAGCCTCACGCCTACTATACTGCAGCTTCTCTTTTCCCGAGAGGGTATTATGCTCATGAAATCAGTCCAGCAAGAAACAGGAACATACATTTTCTTTGACAGGCAGAACCTAAATGTAAGGGTCTTTGGTTCAGAAGACAAGGTTGCTTTGGCTGCGAAGAAACTGGTACAGTCTCTTTTAACTCTCCGCGAAGACAAACCGCTGGAAATCTGTCTTCGAAACAGAGTTTTGCCTCATGATCTTATGAAAAAAGTGGTTGAGAAGTTTGGGCCAGACATACGTGGGCTTAAGGAGAAGGTACCTGAGGCTGAGTTGACCCTTGATGTGAAGCACCATGTCATCTGTGTCCGTGGAAGCAAGGAGGTGAAGCAGGCAGCAGAGAAAGTAATTTATGAATTTGCTTGCTCTCTTAATGTTAATGATCTAGAAGAGCATCCTGGTGGTGAGGCCTCCACCTGTCCTATCTGCTTGTGTGAGGTCGAGGACTCGTATCAGCTGGCAGCATGTGGACATGAGTTCTGTCAATCGTGCTTGGTTGAACAACTAGAATCTGCAATTAAAAGCCGTGATGGGTTCCCCCTTGGTTGTGCCCGTGAGATGTGTGGTGAGCACATCTTGCTCATGGATTTGAGGTCTCTGTTATCTTGTGAAAAGTTGGAAGAACTCTTCAGGGCTTCTCTGGGGGCATTTGTGGCATCTAGTGGTGGTAAATACAAGTTTTGCCCATCTCCCGACTGCCCTTCAGTTTACAGGGTAGCGGAACCGGGGGCGACTTGTTGGCCGTTTGCATGTGGGGCTTGCTATGCGGAAACATGTACTGGTTGTCACTTGGAGTATCACCCGTTCATATCGTGTGAAAGGTACAAGGAGTTCAAGGAGGACCCGGACTCGTCACTGAAAGAATGGTGCCAGGGGAAAGAGCATGTGAAGAGCTGCCCAGTCTGCGGGTACATGATCGAGAAGGTGGATGGGTGCAACCACATTGAGTGCAGATGTGGGAAACACATTTGCTGGGTGTGCTTGGAATGCTTCTGCAACAGCGATGACTGCTATGTTCACTTGAGGTCTGTACATCATGCTATCATATGAAGTTTCATTAATCTCACAAGTCGCTGATGTATATATACATATAGTTCTTGTATATATGTTGCCTACAGGATTATGTTAATGTGCTCTTTATTTATCAAAAATAAAAAATTAAAAAAGGATTATGTTAATGAGCTGCTTGTTTCTTCCTTTGACCTTAATAATTGTGCTCAAACTGGCTTTTTTAACAACACTAATCAACTTTGGAATCCACATATTCCACAACCCTGTGGTTGTGTTTATGTAAACCTGTGCGTTTGTTGGACATAAGTTCCCCCGCCCTTTTTCTTCTTTCTTTGTACAAAAAAATGAATTTGGTTGGCTCATTATAAGTCGTTTGATGGAGGCCCTTATAAACTTTTTGGCTACAAGTCCGTGCTTTGTCTATTGAATTTGATATATTTATGTTGTGTTTGGTTAGGGAATTTAAGAAAGGATTTGGAAAGAAAAATGAAAAATGTGTGAAATTAGGTAAAATATAGATATATTTTATTCACATTTCATCTATATTTTCTCTTTTTCTTTTCAAATATCTTTCCACATCTTCTAACCAAACATAGCCTTATTCTTGAAAAGGATACTTTGCCCAGTTATCACATATCTATGCTCTTTTTCACTATGTATTTCTGGTATATTTTGCTATGTTAGCTGGTACTCAATATGATTTCCAACAATTACAATAAATGACATGATCGTCTTTGATATACCTTCTGGCTAGTGGGTAAAACTGGGTTAGGGTCTCCGCTAGCGATTTTTCTAGCTGGTTAAACAACGAAGCGTTTTTGGCTGTGTCATTGTTGCATTGGGCTGGGTAGTAGAGAATGATAGGCACGTTCATTGATGGAGCAAGCTCATCGATGAATGATATTTTGTGGTCGCGAAGGCTATGGTGAGTTAGTGTTGATGGTTTTATGAACTTTCTGGATAGAATTTCTACCTTCATTGTTGCTTTTTGGTTGAGCTTCCTACTCTTTTATCAAGGAACATAGATAGGTTCTCTAATTTGCTTTGTGTAATGTATTGGGATAACTTGAATTCTCCTAGAAAGCCCGGCATTTATATAGTGGTAGGATATGTAGATTCAATATTTTTCTTCTCATAAAATATTTTCTGTAGTTTCCAGTTGTTTGTTTCTCCTTTTGCTGGTAATGCAATAAATCATATTTGCTTTATTTTCCACCACACGCATTTTTAAGTTAAAGAAAACAAATATGATTTGCTTTCGTTTTCAAGGGGAGAATGTGTTCAATCATACATACGTCGGTATAAAATTTTCACATCTAATGTTAGGTATCATAAAATTTTCACATCTAATGTTAATTTTCACAGAATAATTTACAATTAGAATGAAAATTTGAGTTGATTTTGCAATTAAGTTAAAGGAAATGCAGAAGAAGCCAAAGTGGAAGCAAACTCTGTGCATCACCTGGCCAGTTAGATTTGGTGGCTCACACAGATAATCAAAACAAATAGTTGGACCATGCATGGGTTTCAAAACAAATGGATGGATGACGGAAAAATTATTCTTTATTCTTTATTCTTTATTTTTAATTTTTAATTATTAATATATTTTTATTAAATTAATTATTTTATTTTATTTTTAGTTGTGAGTTTAATGATTTAGTTTTAATTTTGGACAAAATTTATTTTATCTTCTTACAGTAAGGCTTGATAGCACTTTATCCCTTATCTTTTAAAATAGTCATATGTCCCCCCACACGATTTTGGTTTAAAATGCAACCATTAATACCGTTAACTATAAATGTGAAATGACTATAATATCCTCAAACCTTATATTTTTTATTATTTTCTTTCTCTCTCATCTCTCATACACATAATTTATAATGTCTAGTATCAATTCAATTAAATCAAAATTAATTATAAATTCTTAATCATTTATTATAATTCTTAAATTTTTATTTTTATTCTAATTTAATTATTTTAGATCACAATTAATCCTAAATTCTTAATTATTTATTATAATTTCTAACATGTTAATCTAATTTTAATTTAATTACATTTTAGATCAATTCTTAATTATTGTTTATTTTGTATTTTATTTAATTATATTTTCAATCAATTCTTAATTATATTTTAATTAACATATTAATCTAATTTTAGGTTTGGAGAAAATAAGGATAAAATTGTTCTTTTGTTGTATTCATTTCATTTTAATTTTTCAGAAAATAAAACTCACTCTTAAAAACTAATGGTAGCACTTTAATCCAGAATCACTTGTGAGTTTTCGGACTATATTTGAACGAAAGGGTGTAAAGTACTATAGCCCCAAACTGAAGGGGGTAAAATAAATTTAACTTTTAAATTTTTATAGAATAATTTGCAATTAGAATGAAAATTTTGGTTGATTTTGCAATTAAGGAAAAGGACATGAATAAGAAGCCAGAGTGGAAGCAAACTCTTTACATTACCAGGCCAATTAGATTTGGTGGCTCACACAGATAATCAAAACAAATAGTAGGACGATGCATGAAGAAAACTCATTAGATGGATGATGTATGAGATGGTGGATGAATGATGCATGAAGAAAGCTTATTGGAAGGATGATACTCGAACCACCACAAATTCACGGCCTTAGGAATCACTATAAATACTTGTTAATCTATTGAGGAGAGGATTCATTCCATAAAACATTTTTTTTACATATAGATTTTTAGTTTATTTTTATGGTATTTTAATTTTTTTTTTCTTGTGTGTGCATGTGTTAAGGTTAGGGGTGAAACTTTAATAATTTCTTTATAAATATTTTATGATTCAATCATGATTTTTAATGTTAGATTATTTTTATTGATTGATTTATTTATTTGAGAAATTTTTTTGTTCTGTATAATCCCTTGTTCTATCATAGACTCCGAGTACGATAGAAACTTGATATTCCCTATAAATCAAATAATTAAATTTTTATAGTATAATCAATTAGTCAAAATAATCAATCTTTTGAAATTAATTTTTATATAAAATAATTGTTTTTATCTTCCGATTAATAATACCATGTCTCAATTAAGTTATATTTTCTCTCTCCTCCAGTCTAAATTAATTTTAGTCAAAATAATCAATCTTTTGAAAAATATTTTCTCTCTCCTCCAGTCGATTTTTTTGGTAGAAAGCTGGTTTTTCCCACTTTTGGATCATAATTTCTGGTCTCCCATATCAGCATTGTGTTGTACTCACCTGGGAGGCCACCAATATGGTAGGCCAACCAGCTTTTTCTTCTTGACCCTTTTGAACCTCGCTAGAAAGTTGGTTTTTCCTTCTCCTGGGTCACTTTTTCTGGTTTTTCACCCTGCAGCTGTATTCTACTCATCTGGGAGGCCACCTTTCTGGTATGGCCGACCAGAAATCCACCTTGACCCTTTTGAACCCTGGTCGGCCAACCAGGGCATGTGGTCGGCCGACCACTTGAACTGGTCGGCCACCTTCCTTCTTTTTAGCCTTCTCAAGTGCTTCACAGCTGTGCCAGGTGTGAAGCATTTGACCCAGTGTCCGAGATTTGAGCCCTTTGTTTCTCTTTTTAAGCAAGCTTTGGTCCCTTTGCTTAGAAGCTTGCATCCTTTACTTGAGGCTTCCTAAAGAAGCCATGGCCCTTTGTCTTTTATAAGACAAGCTCTCAACTCCATTTTGCAAGGTTAGAAAAGATTTGGCTGGAGCATTGCATACTCCCCTCCATAACTCTCCATTCCAAGCTCAAAACACCCTTTTTCTTGGCCATTTACACTACACCTCTAAGCCTAACACCTCCACCATCCATTCCAGTACCTTGGAACTCATTTTTAGAGATTGAAGGCTCACTTTCTTAGTCCAGAAGTTATTGCATTGCTGTGCTACAAGGGTAAGTCTCCATTTTCCCAATTTTTTCACTATTTTGCTCTATACCTTAGCTCCATTTGCAAGTATTTTTGAGCTTTGACATGAACTGAAAAGCGTCTTATTTTGAGCCTCTCTTGAACTTTGTTTAAGGATACTTTTCTGTTTGAGGTCATCTACCTCCTTATATGCTCCATTCTCTCTTTTAAGGCTTATTTTGTATCATATCTTAGCCTTATTTGCAAGCATTTTTGGACTTCGACATAAACTAGAAAAAGTCTTGTTTTGATCTTCTAAACATGTTTTTTTAAGGACTTTTTTCTTTTTGGGGCCATCTTCCCCCATGCATGCTTCATTTCCTCATATTTTGAGCTATGCAGTAGAGCATTTGCATCGGCCTTGGTTTGGCCTCTTAGCCACTAAAATCCAGTGGATTTTCAGTGGCTTAGATGTGTTTTTGAGCCTCAAAATCAGAGAGGGGTGACCCTTTCACCCCTTGTTCTCTTTACTAGCATTGTTGGCCTTTCAAAGGGACTCTTTTTTGCATGCATTGAAGCCATATTTCAGGCCTCATTTTGTGAGTTTTAAGGTCTTCCTAAGCTTTTTCAAGAGCCCATTTTGCCATATTTTATGTCTATGATGCATGTGTAGAGCAATCCCATTTAAGGCCTTTCAAAGGGACCTTTCTTTGCATGTTTCCTAAACTGATTTCAGAGCCTATTTGGTGGGTTTTAGGGCTGTCATAACTCATTTCCAGAGGTGGTTTTACCCTTTTGTTTGTCTATCATATAGGTGTAGAATACCCCCTTGCATGGCCTTCCAAAGGAGCCCCTCATTTTTGCATGCATTGACTGAGTTTCAGTGGGTATTTGGGCATATTTTGGCATGAAATACTTCTATTTTTGGTTGGTTGGGTGAGCCTTCACATGCTTCATATAGTTGTAGAACAACTAATGGTTCACTAGCTTTCTTTGCATGCTTTGTGGACCCTTGATGTTAGCACTTTTTGGCCATACCTTACACTGATAATGTGCTTATTTTGGACTACCCTAGCTCTGTTTTTAGGCCTTATGGTCGAATGATGTTTGTTTTGCATGCTTGTAGTTCAATACCCATGCTTAACTTTGAGTTTTGAGGTCCATTGCATGCATGTGCTGAGGTGTGTTCATGTTTTGAGGTCATTTTTTATCATATTTCAGAGCTAGTTTGAATTCCATATTGCCATGTTTTCATCTCTTTAAGTGTGCTTAAGAGTTGTGCGTGAATGCCTTGTTTACCGACCAATGAATGAGCTTCATTTTCATGCATGTTGAGC